CCTTTACATTTCCAACCCTCACAATCAGTCCTGATAACAATTATTCACTATTGTATCACAAGAGACCTATCTGCATTTCCTTTCAACAGTCCTGCCTAGACAGATTGGATACTACCCAGTGGAGATTTTACCTTCCTCCATGCCTTCTGGATCTAGGTTCCCTCTTGAAAGCTTGTAAGCCAATCACTTCTTGCCTTTGTAACACCCCACTTTGGGTAGCCAATGTCCAAGTTGCCCAACTTGGACTCTGTGTATGGAGGGGGTGGGAATGATCCTTGCTGTAAAGATTGGTTCCCTCTTTTGAGCTACTGCATCCATGGGTATAGGTCAAGTTCATCAAACTATATCAGATTACTCTTTATTTTCCTCTTCTTTCTTCTTCGGGTTGAGCTCTGATCATTCAGTCATTGAAACCAGGTCAAGTGGGTATTATCTGCAAGTGTGGGTGTTCTTGTGCATATGCCCTCTCTTCTTATCAGCTAGACGCTTCACTCTCCACTCTAGTCCTCTGTGGCTATGTCACTGACTCTGGACCAAAGAGTCCCCAGGTCATGCCACACTGTTGGCCAACCAGGTTTCCACCTGGGTTCACTGGAGTCTACTGAACATTGTAGGGCTTAGCTTGCAGCTTCATTGCTGTTTTTCCCTCACTTCCCCTTATTGGTGACAAACGTGGTGCCACCAAAGCGTGTATTCCCACTGAGTCTTAGTCTTGGAAGGGGGTTTGCTCTGAGGGGACCCGACCACTTGCCTTGATGTCTCCTGGGAGAGCAACATGCTTGTTCTTGTAGTAACAGCCAGTCTGCCTATATTGTTTTGTATTTTCTCCTGTCAGTCTTTCTTTCAAGAAGTTATCTTCTGTTCTTCTAGCCACTCCAGGCTGGTCTGCCCGTCCTTTCAAGTGGAAATTTCCTACCTCTGAATATACTCTGGATGTGGTTCAGGCTTCCACCTATAGTCTTATGTAATGCAGAGGCTCCGCAGGAAGTCTCCTTCACTAGGCACTTTGTAGCCCCATTTTAGGTGTTCCAGTCAGTTAGAGGCAGAAGACAGACTTACAAGCTTTCTATGGTGATATTTCTGGCTATTCCTTTTTCTCTCCCTGCAGTGTCTATTTTATACTGGTATACAAGGGAAACCAAGATTCAAAAGACAGCCAAGCATCATAACATTATTTCCCCCCTTTTCCCCATTCCAACCATGTCTCTCAATCCCACCAGGGCTCTTTTGATGTAAACAATATTGCCTGGGAAACCACAAGAATCAGTACTACTCTTGATGGACAAAATTGCTGAGTCGAAAACAACTCAATGGCAATGGGGTTGAGTTTTTTAAGATTCTTGCTATGGGGGCAACATTTGCCTAGGGGGCAGAGTTGAGAAAGAATGGGAAAGAGTGGTATGAAAATGGGAACCACAGGAAGAAGTGAGATAGCTGTTGTTGCATGGATGGGACTGCAATCATTGAGATGAAATAAAGTATGATTTGCTGAATGTAAAACTCATGATCTTGTCTATAAACCTCTACTCAGGTCACAATAAAAAGTTATCATAGCCACCAAAAGGATGAAATACCTAGGGATAAATGTAACCAGAGAAACAAAGGACTTATACAAAGAAAACTACAAAACACTACTACAAGAAACCAAAAGAGACTTACAAAAATGGAAAACTGTAGGGAACCTACAGAATGGGAAAAAATCTTACGCAATTACATATCAGACAAGGGACTCATTTCTAGAATATACAGGAAACTGCAACACCTCTACAAGAAAAAGACAAATAACCCAATTAAAAAGTGGGCACAGGA